CCCCCCCCCCCCAGTGTACTATATATGAGTGTATGTGTACCAGTCTGCGTGCAGTCCCAAGCAATGGAGATTAAAAAAACAATTGTCCGATTGCGGACTTCAAACATAATTGTCCTAACAGCTAACGACTTGATGTTTGCGGTTAGCGGTCTGGCGGAAACATCAATCATCACTTCTCTAATGTTTTGGTTTTAAGATTTTTCTCGCGTTGATTGGTTTATAGAAAGACACTCTAAAAGGGCCGTAAAGACACTCTCTGTAAGTGTGTGAGGCCTTCTTTGACCCCAAGTTAGTGCTTCCCTTGTGACATCATATACTGCTAGGAAAATAAATCAAAATAATACTTTAATATTCTTGTATTTCAAACGCCATACGCAGATTCGCAGAATATCCGTCAATGACAATTTGTTAATAATGTAGCAGGTTTCCTCATTAGGAGTGGAAGTTTATCAGTATAAAATGAAAATCCCATCTGCTTATTACATTTGCAGTACTCCTCGCAGTATACGATGTCACATTCTCTGGCATTCGCCTTTCGGATGTTTATCGACCTTAGTGAGTCCTAGTCTATCAAGATATGGTCTGCAAACCCGGTAAACATCCGAAAGGCGAATGCCAGAGAATAGATCTAGAAGACCTTTGTTTGAGGTTGAAATGCACCTCGCTGTGCACAAATCCTTTGTTTCAACTTCATTAAATAGTACTTAATTATGGTGGCAGGTTCAATTTACTTCGGCTATCCTCCTCCTCCACAGGCGTTTTGAAAACGTCCGCAAATCCCTCCTAAATTCTTGCGCCCGCACGGAGTTAGTAAATAACAAAACGTCTGTGGAAGAGGTGGTCGAAAATACAACGAGCTCTGCTCAAACACCGTGACGGCCGTGCACAAATTAACATAAACTCAGACAAAAACATAGCCTACGTTTTTGAATAAATGGCCATTTATTCAAAAATCCCCAAAAGTCAAAACCTCTAATAAACTGATAAAGCGACTGCTACGCAGGCTAACAAAAACATAACACAATGATTTGTTTTATAGTATACAGACCATCATACTGTAATTATTTGTTTGATATTTGTATGAAAA